TTGAGTCATTAATTTTCAGATAATAATTGTAGAAGGAAGATGTGTGTGTAAAAATAAAAAAAAAATTAAAAAAATGTTACCTTGTTTTATAAAGTATCCTCCCGACAAGTATTTCAGTGCAGACCTGTGCGCCCAAAAGCATGTCACAAAAACTGTTCGAAATGATTTCCGTTTTGCTCGACGCAGAGCTGGGCGCGTCTTAGCCATGTCTCCTTACAAGCACGCAATAAAATCACTGGTTGATTTCTGATCACTGTACTCATTTCCTCAATTCGAGCACGTAATTCTTCGCGTGTATTAACCGGTGTTTTATACACTAGAGTTTTTAGCCAACCCCACAAACAAAAGTCTAAAGGATTTAAGTCCGGAGACCTTGGCGGCCAAGGTACAAAACCGCCACGGCCGATCCAACGATTATTAAATTGTCTATTTAAAAATTCACGCACATTTCTTGCATAATGGGGTGGTGCCCCATCTTGTAAAAACCACATGTTTTGTGTAATATTTAAAGGCACATCTTCCAGTAAACCAGGCAAATTGTGTTGCAAAAAATCAAGATAATTTTCACCAGTTAAGCGATTTGGTAATTCAAAAGGCCCCACTAAAATTCCATTAACAATTCCCGCCCACAGGTTGATTGGTTCAAATCGCTGTTGAAAATTGGTTTCCCTTATTTCATGGGGATTTTCAATAGCCCAAACGTGAGAATTACGTGAATTAGTAATTCCGTTTCTAGTAAAGAGGGCTTCATCACTCACTAAAATTTGATTTAAAAAATTGTCATCATTTTGATGTTTATTTAAAAGCCAATTGCAAAAGCCAACCCTTTGTTCATGATCTTCCGGTTGTAAGGCCTGCACTTTTTGTATGTGAAACGGATAGAACTGATTTTCACGTAGAGTTTTCCAAGTTTTATATTGACTAACCGCCAATTGAGTTGAAATTTGTCGGGGATCATCATTTACTAATTCTAAAATTTGTTCTTCTAGTTCTATTTGATCGTGCGGTCATGGAGCACTGGCATGATCTCCTCTGTGAGGTCTTAAGTCACCTGATTCACGAGCTCTTTGCACTACATTAACAAAGGCACGAGGGGTTGGTTGCACTCGATTGGGAAACCGATCCGCATAGATCCGTGATGCCGCGGCAGCATTTTGTAAAGACCCCGTAAATAAGAACCATGTCCACAAGTTCAGCATTTTCGTAAACATGTGCCATTTTTGATTTCGTTTGAGCCACGCAACAGACACCACTATTCACTCACGCGTTACCGACTGACACTGACTGTATACAACTGAATAAAATAATTGTAAAAACATCGTTCCAAATTATTTCACTTTTTTTTCCGATGCGATGAACCGATAAGGCGGATTATATCCGTTGTTGCCAAAGACGAGCACATAATATTATTATTGAGACAGGGCGGTACTCAAACTTCCAAAGGGCTGTAACTTTGTTACTTTAATTTTACCAGAAAAATGGTAAAGGAAAAAACATTTCTTTTGATCAGATCTACTCACTGTTAAAATAAATGACTAAGCTTCGAAGTCACCCTGTGTATATATATATATTGGCCTTTGAAAAATGGGCCTGTCTTCTTATTTAAACGCGCATTTTTTTGCTATATCTGTGAAAAAATGGGAAATACACTTTAACCAATATTTTCATAAGTAATTGCCAAACATGTCCAAAGTTTATAAATGTGTGCCGCCTTAATGGATTGGATTTATCTATACCCTTTAAAGATTTCTTTACAGCTATTTTGAAGTTTATAAAAAAACTTCTTGAGAAAAAGAAATGATAAGCTTAATTCCGCTGTCCACTGCGAGTTAGAAGATGGTGGGTGAGGACAGGGTCGTTCTAGCGGGGTGGGGTGGTAGTAAATCCAGCTCGCTGCTAGTAGAAAGTAGCGCATCCGATTCAATGATATTGCGGACATTTTTATGACTGATATTTGACTCATATAGCAAGAACTAGTAAGAAAATTATTTCGAAATGCATAAACAATCAGCTCCAGCTATTCATGAGCTGAATGAACTTTATTCTTTATAAGCTCTCTTCTGATTCTAGAAATTTTATTGTAATGATCTTCCTGTTAACTAAACGTCAGGCAACAATAAACGAAAAAACATGGCAATCTGTATTTATGATTTTTCTGAAAGCAGTTAATAATTGAGTGCTATTTTGGAATTAGGGGAAATGGTTTAATATGTTTACCAATTTTGTTATATGTTTATATATATATATATATATATTTGTGAAATATTTTGCGTGTTATGAAAAATTGTTCTAAAAGTTATAACTCACTTGTACTCAATTAACGACCAAATCCCAATTAATTTGTTACGAGGAATATGCATTTCTTTGACTTATCATCTTACCCACAACAGTATTCAAAGCGCAGATTTAAAGATTTCATATTTTTAGGACCCATGAGTTGAATGTATTAAGGTATTAGGAACATCATTTAATCGTTAGAAACTAAAAAACTAAATAAATAGGTTACAGCAATTTGAAAAATAAATACCTACTCCATAAGGTAGGCAACCATCTACAAAAGGTAGATGTCTATTCAACCAAGTAGTAAAAGCATAAGGCTAATTGGCTTTGCCCTATGTTATGAAAGAAAACGGAAAATCGATATTTCAATAGGCTAGGTTGCCTAGGAATGGCAGCTCAAAGCTATGTTGTTTTTTGACATTATATAGGCTTTTTGTGACATTATATATATGTACATACTAAGTGACATATAAATCCAAACACCCAGTTTAACTGGTTTTGTTTTAATAAAATTTTGTATAAGTACTTAATGAAGCATAATAAGTAAATGATAAAAATTTCAAAATGATTGCACTGCTTTAAAGCCCTTTGACCTTTAATAATGTGTGGATGCACCCGGATGTGCTACGCATTTTCCAACGCGCCTAGGCATGCTTCTGATCAGGTGGTCAATGTCCTCCTGTGGTATCTCATTCCAGGCAACCACCAACTCCTCTCGAAGTGCTTCTAGAGCCTGAGGAGGACGTTGCAAATTGAGCAATCTCCTACCCATCATATCCCACACATGCTCAATTGGGGATAAGTCGGGAGATCTTGGTGGCCATGGTAACAATGTGACATCATTATGTTGAAAGAAGTCTATTGTGACTCTTGCAACATGTGGTCGGGCATTATCTTGTTGGAAAGTTGGATCTGCCAGGGTGTCAAGATAGGGTAAAAGATGGGGTTCTAGAACTTCGTGGATATAACGCTGCGCGTTCATGTTACCTCTGATGAAGATTAAAGGTAACCTGGAACCATAAGCTATAGTACCCCAAACCATAACTCCAACAGTGTGATGAACATGTCTTTCAACAAAAAACTGTCGATTCCTCCTTTCACCACGTCGCCTTCTAACCCTGGCACGACCATCGTGCATGCCTAAACAAAATCGAGACTCGTCACTAAAGACAATACTGTTCCATTCCTGATCCCAGAGTGACCGTTGTCTGCACCACTCAAGGCGATTACTTCGCATGCCAATAGGTCTTCCGTGTTCTGCAAACCATTCATTTGCAATGGACCTGGTAGAGGAGAAACGGTCCCTTAAGGCCAATAATCTTAGGCGGCGATCTTCACGGTCTGTTGTTCTACGGCGGCGTCCAGTGCCCCTTGCTCTTTGCGTACGGCCTTCTCGAAGCCATGCCTGACAACACCTAACCACAGTGTCTACACTTCTTTGCACTCGAACTGCAATTGCCCGAAAAGAAAGTCCAGCTTCCCGAAGTCCCACTATACGGCCCCTATCAAACTCACTAAGTTGACGAAATCGTACAGGTCTCCGTACTCTAGGCATCGTAACCGATCGTAAAGGATGTCAAGAACCGAAATCCGCCAACGTTGATTCTTTACTGCGGCTGAAATATTCAGTTTTAGAGCGTTAGTGAATTAAAAAAAAGCAGTATAAAAACCGGAATGTCCAACTGATAAGGCTGAACATTTTTTCACTTATTATTTACAGTAAGATAAATACATTCACCAACTTTTATTAAAATAAAACCGTTTAAACTGGGTGTTCGGATTTATATGTCACTTAGTATAGCTTTTCCACAAGATGTCAACTTAGCACTAGCTGTTGTACACTTGTTGTGCAATTGTTCCGTAGCTGTACTTGTGCCTAAATGTCATGATGCTTCAGGTATCAATGTTTGGCTCTGATGTGGTGTAACATCTGCTTCATGGATGGTATTATTTGAGGTCGAAGCTGTAAGTTGTATACTATAGCTGGAAAGAAAAGGCAGTGCATAGGTGCATAGTGAGGATTTCTGTTCTAATAATCTGTGCTGATGATAATTCCGTTAGTTTCTTGTCTCAAATACACTTACTAGAGATGTGTGCAAAGCTACAAATTAGATGCTCATCCGCTTTTTCTTATTCAACCTGGAAATTATATATGCATGTTTGCTGAATTTCAAAAAAGAGAGCGATGAGAAAAGAAGATAACTGGTTGGTGAGGTATATTAAAACTAACATGTGAGAAAACATGGAACATACAGGAATATTTATGAAACTTAAAACAGTTATTACATGTCACGTTAATTTGAATTTCCATTCATTTAAATTTTGGAAATTCATTTTACGATGTCAAGTAGAAAATACAAATCAGCGCCTAGATGTGAGGCAGTGCGCAAATAATTTTTATGTGATGCGTCTTTCCTAAATGTTCTGTGATGTGACATAATGTTTCTCAAAGTTTTTGAAAGCGCAAAAATGAAACGGAAAAAATCTTAATGAATAACTTTGACCTTCAGAAAGGAAAACACAAATAACCCGTTTAGCACAGGTAATAGTTATATTTGTATTTCATGGGCAGCATATTCGGTAATAATTCACAAAATTATCCAGATGTGATCTTGCTCCAGCAAGCTATTCAACCACACTTCTTTTCAGAGTATACTCCATGTATATGTATACTATGTGTCGGCATTCCGCAACCAACAAAGCATGATGGGAAACTGACTTACAGCATGGTCATTGAGCGTGTGTCAGAATGTACTATTATTTTTTAGATGTTTTAAGTAGTAGCCCTGCCGATGACAGACGACCCTTATTCAAACGTCGGCATTGGCATCCGCCACTTGTCGCTACGTCAGAGAGCTGCCATGTATGTCAATAGGAAGTTTGGCTGGTGACGTCGCTATTGCATTCCAACGACGTAGGACTGTAAAAGGAATCAAAATAGCATGCCAATGCAGGAGTTGAAGTTCTAATCAACATTACGGTTTCCAATTTCCAAATGAGAAAGGGTACATTAATTATTCATATTAGTTCCTAGTAATCTGATTTGAATGCGTAGGAAAATTACTTTCAATATTATTCGACAGTCGACGTCAAAGCGGTCCTCAGGTCTCAGTTTTTAAATCAGCTACTTCGCAGAAATCATACAGTTCATGCGTTAGTATTTGATGCGAGTAATTAAGGATGATCTGGAAAAACGCATTTAAAATCTTTAGAGGAGAGGAGTTTGAAACAATATATGGAATTGCGGACAAGAATAATATAATGTTGCTTTTACTAGGGATAGACGTGTACGAAAAAGATTCTACAGGGAAATATTTTGCACCAGGACGAAGAAAATGGTTGCTTGCGGCATGTAAGTCTAAAATAAGATTGTGTGGTCATACTAATAGACGTTCCTTGAAGATTGGGTGCCGTTTGAAGAATGGTCTCTTCATGGATATAAAACAAACAATAACGCTTCGTTGAGGAATGTTCAACGGACGATTTAATATTTGAATCGGTCAGTGCAAAAACCTCGCCCCATGGTTTAAATTCTCCGGGAGACAATAAAAGCTTTGTCACTGGCAAATAAACCAATTAATCCAGTTAAACAAAGCGGATAAGGCCTGCATTCTGATTTTCATAGTTCAAGAATTTAAAATAGATATTTGGTGCACATAGCACAAGAATATGAAAATAAAACAATACAGGCATACTCGTACTGCCTTTGAAATGACCCATTCAGTTAGCTGCCGTCAAGCACTGCATGCAAAAACCACGTAGTTTTTGAGCTGAATGTGTATCGCTTAGTGATATTTGAAGGGGAAGGGATATATTGACTTACGAGGTGCTCATCGAGAATACTTTACTGAAGCGCTTTCAGTAAAACCATCACAGGTTTTCAAACTTCAATACCTTTTGAAATTCACGTACTTCCGAAACTGTGAGGTCTGCTAACGTTTTTTAAATTCTTATATATTCAAAAATTTTCAGATTTTTGGTTTTGTCGGATTATCAATCAATCAACCAATTTCAAAACTTGTTGGTATTCTGAAAATTTTGAGAATTGTGAAAAATACCATCACATTCAGATTTTCAGAATTTTCAAAATCTTCAAACCTCCAAAGTCTTCAAAATTATCTAGACGTTCAAAATTTTCAAAATAACTAAAATTATGGAAATATTAGAGTCTTTAAAGCTCTGAAAAATTTCGAAAATATCGCAAGTCACGCGAACTGAAAATTTTAAATGTTTTCAGATCTCAAAGAAGGAAACGTTATTGTTTGTTCAAAGTTCAAGGCGAGATCATTCCTAAGACTGTACTCAGTGCTCAAGGAACACCTATAATGTGACGGTTGTATTGTTACATCCCGTATTGATGCCCATAGTCTGCTAAAAGGGCCGCATGTAGACTAATTGACAGGCTTGGCCTACCTATATTATACTCCACTGAGAAAATAGTTCAATTGCACTAAATATAATTATTATTACACTACTTAGGACATCTTATTAACTATGGTACGGCTAATAAAAACACTTAGTTTAAGCAAACTAAAAACAATTTTCTTGAATATGTAAGACTAGTTTAATTAAAATTATTAAAGTATTTATTTAGACTGAGCATACAAATTCAATTAATATTAATGAACTATCAAAATCAGCTAACCTGCTTACAGTAGAGTGAAACCGTTTGATTGTATTTGTTAACTCATGTTAATTAGTATGAATAAACTATTTACCTAGCTCTAGTGAATTATGTTACTAGTTAAAATGATATTTGGGATACAAATTAAAAACAAAATGCATTGTAGAGAATAATAACTGTGACTTGACCTTATTTACAGCATTATTCCGATGCAGTTCATAATTACCACCATTCATTAAAACCGGTATTTCTCTTAAATTGTTTATTTAAGGCCAGAGAAGAGCACCTGGTACTGAATAAAGCCGTTTGACCATCTGTGCAAAAATTTTACTTTTATTTCTAATAAGGATACCATACTGGAAGGGCATTTGAAGCGTTAACATAATATATAAGTAAACTAGGTATTTTGCTATGATTTTAAGCAAGTCTCTCATCGAACCGACCATAATCACTTTCACCTGACACTCTTAATCTTATAGAAAATAGAGCATGAATCATCTAAGTTCTAAGCGCCTTATGCTTGAGCTACACTTGCACTCCAGTTTTTCGTTGATCACCCTTAATCCACTCCACAGCCAATACCGATAGTTCATGAATGAAGGGCTGAGCCAACCCTTTACCAGCTCCGCAAGATTGATTGTCTTAAATGCACCTTCTTCTGCATAAAAAAAGACTTCAACCAAATAATTTATACTGTCTACTGTCTATCACGTTTCCTCCAAATCGGTGTAAGGTTGACTGTTTAATTTAAATGTGCTCACACAATGGTTTCACTGTACCTTATTCGCTGGTACTTCCTTTATCTCTGACACTGCAACTCGGCTTGGGTTACACACTTCTTCGGTAGGCTTTGTCCCAAATTGACTTGGGTCGTCCTCTTGATAAGCTTGGTTCTGTTTCTGCTTTCCATATTTGTTTCACCTGTGTAGTTTCGTGCATTCAGTTGATGTGTCGAAAACAACTCAGCTGGTTCCTTCCGATTACCTTTTTCACTGTCTCCACTCCAAGTTTTTCTCTTATTTGGTCATTCCTTATTCTGTCCGCTCTCGTGACACCCCATGCCTTTCGCAAAAAATCCATGCTTCATTCTGAGCTTGATAAGGACGCAGCTATATTTGGTATATTTTTAGTTTGCGTTAATTCCTTCCTCGTCAAACCAGACTTGCTGGGTGCATAACAGTTTTTCGATGCCATTAGTCCTCACCTTCACGTCGTCCTCTTGTTTTCTTGTTTGTTGTTTTTCTTTCGCGGAATAATTTAGCAATTTAAATTACGGGTAAGCACATAGCCGCTATTAGTTGGAACTGTTAGCGAAACAGTTGCCTATGGTTGGCTGTATTTTTGGTCGGACGGACGAAGGCATCATACTTGGTTTGTTCAATGCGGAGTAGACCTCATCTACTTTACAGCGAGAATCGTCAACGGTCTATCGGTTACGTGGTGATTGCTGTTAACGCGAGTTGAGATTGCTAACAGTTACAACTAATAGCAGCTATACGCCATCCGCAGTGGTCGCTCTCAGTGTACATATTATAGGAAGTTATCCATGAATTTTTTTAGGTGTTCTGGTCTACTTGGCAGCCGCTCTTCTATGTCAAATGACGATAAACAGTTTAAGTGAGACTTCGATGACGCACATCTTCCACATTGGAATGACGCTGACGGCTATATTCTGCGTAATATGGAGCACACAAGTGAACCATCTTCCTGTAAGAATACTTGATCTGGTACACAAGGCTGAGGAATCCATGAGAGCAATGCACTTACCTGTCAGATACAAAGCCTGTCTCTATTCAATCTACGTAACGAATTGCATGATAGTGGTTGGGTCTGCTGCAATTTTCCAGAAATATTACGTCGAAGAAAAAAGTTTGTACTTGTTTTTGGAAAATATTTTCACAGTTGGAGCCTCTGCTGCTTATATTTGCTTAACTCCATGCTTGTATATCTTGATAGCACCAACAATATATATACGATACAGAACGATCAATTATTACTTAGAAGAAAGTATTTCGGAGACTAATCTGGATAAGTTGAAGAAAGAACTTGTAATGTTGGCTCTAGCACATGATAGTTTATGTAGCGCATTCAAAGAGCTCTTGAACTTTTGTGGAATAACAGTATTATTGCTTTTTGTCATCGCGTATTGTCAGATATTCGTATACATCAACAAATTCATTGAGGAAGGAAAAGTAGCTGGTGATATGTACTCGTGCTTTTGGAACATTCTGTTTCTCACTCAATGTTTTGTAACGGTTGTTGTAACTACTCTCATCAAGCATGAGGTAAGGATAGTAACTCTTATGAATTTCCAATTATCACGAGTTTTACTTTTTTTTAGTCCTCACAAGCTCCGCTACTATTAAGTGAAATTAAATCCACATATTTTGACCACGACTTGGTAACAGAGGTAACTAACTAGATTATCATTGCTTAACGTAAAGATTCCTGTGTCTAAAAAGGTTTCTAAAAGACACTAGTGCCATCTATGAGATAGTAGCATAACACAAATATATATTTATAAATTAACTTTGAAAAGAGTTAGACTGTTTAGTGCTGTCTCAGAGATTTGGCGCTGGATCTTCAATCCTTTAAGGCTTATTTAAATTTGATATTTTCAGGTGGAATACAAATCAATTCCCAAAGATATGCAATTGAAATAGGCACTAGAGGAACTAGAAAAGGCTTGAAAGTCCTAGCGCCATCTATGAGACAGTAGCAAAACAAATTTCGTTTTTAGATTCTACTACTCTCTTATAGATGGATGGTACAGATTTCTTTTTTTACGCCGTATTAAAGTATATATCTGGCATTTTGTTAATAATGCCCCAACACAAAAGGAGGGGAATCTAGGGTGTGTATTTGTATGTCTGCTTGAAGAAAAGTAGCTCCCAATTAGCATAGCATTGCAATAGCGGAGATTTTAAAAAGCATCAGGGCCTATAATAAGCGAGGCTTTTGTCATCATTATAGGTATGAAGTAGAAAGTGTTACGACCATGCGCTCGTACAAAAATACTTAGTCAAGTATTCGAACACAATTGAGGTTTTAGCAAAAATGCCAAATCTGCGAATTTGAGTTATTTTCAAGGCTAAAACCCCGCTGGTAGGTCCTGGTTCTTGAAAAATCTGCAGGAATGAGATATATACTTTTGTGATGTTTCATGGCACATACATCACGAAACAGCGTCACTGATTTCCGTCGGTTTGCCTCCCTGTCCGCTCGACTTTGGCCCCTCCATAAGTCGGAAACTATAGCTCGACTTTCAATGAGTTATTCAGGGTATTCCATACTAAGATGGGCATAGTGGAATGGTAAGTTTTCATTTTTTACATATCTGCAAACAAAGTTCTGAATTCATTTTTTACGGATATACAGGGTCATTTATCTAAACAGGACAAATCTTTAATATCAGATATCTCAAGCTACATTGATCCGATTTTGTTGAGATTTTGCACGATAACAAAACCACTAGGTGTTACGTAAAACTAGAAGGAAGGTTAAAAAATCCTAGGGGAGACTCGATTTTTTCACCTTCTTGTTTTGTCATCAAATCAACTACTTTCAAGCTGAATATTGGAATGTTGGACTATGGACAAAAAGGTCGATGAATGGTACTAATTAATTAGCAGAATAAAGTCAATGCTCCTCTTTTGTTTTTTCATTTAAACTTTTTTATTCAAATATCGTATGAAACGAAACTCATAATTTCAATGGTTATCAAATTGGTTTTATCAACATTTTACGTAACGGTGAATTGTACCAAAGATATTTTGAAAATTAATTGTTTTAGGTCTAGATTCAGTTCTTTTGTTGAATTTATGATTATTCGCAGAAAAAATTCACTGAAATTAGGTAAATGGTTCTCAGAAACGTAGTATGCGTTTCCAGACTTGACATTTAATCTTGTGATTTACCATGTGTGCATTATGTATCTGAATATAACGAAGAGTTGTGGTAAGAGCATGCTAAAAATGAGTCCGTACCTGTATATTATTATTTTCTGTATATTCGTAATACATAATCTCTTATTTCTCTGGAGAGTCAAATTCAGTGCATTTGCATACTAAATTCCGTTTCCCTCTAAAGCAAGAATCATGTTGTATAACATTAGTTGGTTGAACCGAATCGTTAAGGAATTACTAAAAAAGCTAAATAAAATGCATAAAATTAATTCTGAGTATAACTTACACGGCGTTGCACTTAATGAAATGCAAGGGAATGAAAAAACTAAATCCGATTCTGGACTTTGGGCTCTCAAGACATCTTCTGTCCAATTTTAAGCATTATTTTGTAATATTATGATGACGCCAAGCTGATAATTCTTAAAATTTTTAAGATTTTGTTACATAAACTGTTGAAAGTACAATATTTGAATAAATAGAAATTTTTAACTAAAAAGACAAAGGAGGCGCAATCAATATATTTTGCTGATTAATTAGCACCATTTATTGTCGTATTCTGAATATAGTCTGAATATCGTCGAATATTTCTGTATTCTGATATGAACCAAAAACGTGAAAAAATCGATTCCTGTCACGGATTTTCAGGGATACGTCTAGCATTACGTTACTCCTAGAATGTCCCGCTAAATTTTAGCAAAATCACTTCATGTGCCCGAGATATATGATACTTAATATTTGGCGTGTTTAGATCAATCACCCTATATATCCGTAAAAACTGAATATAGAATTTTGGTGTTTCCAGATATGCGAAGGTCTTGGTCTATACTACCTACCATTTCACTATCCATTCAAGTACTCTGTACTGTAACACTACGTTGCCAAGGACGAAAAGAATTTGTAAGTTTTGATAATTTATACAGTAGAGAGACGGACCACAGGCAAAAAAAATTGCAAAAACCCAGATTAATTGTAATACACGGAAAACTGTATCAGAGGACGTAATGAATGCATAAGGATTACAGCGTCAATCTACTACGAGTAGAAGGTACTTCTTGAATTTCGACTTGTATAATAGTACGTTGAGGTTACACCGATATTTCTTTGTCCTAGAGAAACACATTTCTGCTGCAGATGTTAGAACAAGTTGTAGATGACACAGTATGTGGAGACTTCAAATTACATACTAGTAGGCTTTTTAAGGTATAGTGTTTTCTCACAAAATATCTTTTTGGCAAGTACGTAAATATTACTATTTCAAACCTCTAAAAATCGCCTGTTTTGTTTTAGGACCTACAAATAATGACAACCGTTATAATGTTTTTGCTACAATGGAAAAAGCATAATATTCTCTTAGGATAATAAGAAATATAGAAAGTTTGTCTATATTGCCGACTGCCACTGCAAATATATCCAAAATATTGTATTCGTATTTTTGGTATTCAAGTACGAGTAGCTCATTACTACATGTATTTCACATTGTTAACTGATACCGAGCAATCTAGATAATAACAACATCTTGATGTATTAAACTTATACTGTGGTGTTACCTGGTATGTTACATTACGAAATATTAAATCATCACTCATTTCCGTCGGTTTGTCTGTCTGTACACTAAACATTGATCCCCTTTTATGAATGTACTGAGATTTTGATGTTTCCACACAATATTACAACAGTACCAAGTATGCGAGAACTTTGTGGAAGAAAAAAAGAACGAAACAAACACATAAAAATCGCTGAAACCTCGTTCTTTAGCGTTCCAGAGACTCCTGATATATTTTGAGAAAATTTCGGAATCGCACAAATTTTAAACGTCAAATCAAATCACATAAATATGCTTTAGTCTCTGTTTATTGTATGAAGTTTCGGTCACCACGGTGTCCTTTTTCTAGTACCTGAGTATAATATATGTGGTTTGATTCGACAAGACAATGGAGTATTTTGATCGACAATCTCTTGGCTGACCATCAAAGGACTACTTCTGCCCCGTTTTCTATACACAAAATGAAGTAAACTATAAAATGTGGACCTTTTGAAAGTAGATAAGTCTTCATCACTATTAAGCTTCTGTTATACTTTGTCTATGGTGGGAACGCTTAGGCGGCTGCCACTTTGCCGCGCTGCATCTTTGTTGTGCCGGGGCGTAAATGGACTACGAATGGGGTATAGGCAACGTGTGGTGACCTTCGCTGACCAGCTGTCTTCAATCTCTCCAGACTCACGCGCGAATCACGGCGTGAAATCGCGGCTCGGATCGCGGTGCGAATCCCGAAATTTCTTCCTACAGTTCCACACTCGCAGATGTTCGCGCCTGCTTCACAGTATAGTTCGCGGTCTTGACGAGTATGGATGGTGAAATTGCTACTGCTGCTGCAGTGCTACTTTGCGCTTTGGCATTTTATAATTACGCATATATAAGTAAAACTAGAGCAATTGAAAATAAGTGGAAAAAACACAACCACTCCCGACACTCGCTATGAGGCAACTGAACCACCAGCGAATGTGGAGCCTAGTCATGTTCGCGCTTTGCGAACCCTTTGTCGCGGGACAAAAAACCGACAACAAACGGGAACAACGCGCGAACGCGACGTGAAGCCGCGAAGAATACGCGAATGGGATCCACACTCATGGATCGCGGGTAGTTCGCGGCTTCGCGCGCGAATCGCGCGTGAGTCTGGAGAGGGCATTATATTATTAACAGACACACTTATCGCGCTTCTCCCTCGTATACATTAAACTCAAGCCATCAGACAATTTTGGTACTCTCCGTATATGTATGTGGATCTTCAGTATAAGATAAGGTTCTATAAGCCATAGTTCTACCTGCCTCGCGAAAACTTAGATTACCACGACGCTATAGTCGGTCTTTTTTGGTCGACGCTTGTTACTCAAAAAACCCAGGCCACACGTGCAAGTATTACCACGGTCTAACTTGTGCAAGAGGGTTTGTACCGGGAACACGTAGCGTATAAACAATTTAGTTCGTTAATTAGATTGACAATGTATATTTCTTCTACGAGTATCTATATCTATATTTCTTTTTCTTCTTCTTCTTCTTCTTCAGTAAGAGACAGATTAAAAATGCACTGAAAACAAACAATTCATCATTTTGCACTATTGTTCCAAAATAATTGACCAGCAGCGATTTCTCCGATGATTTTAACTACAATGAGGTTTGTGCAAACTTACTTGCATCGTGTGGTCACCCTATGGTGTTCCGTCTTAATCGCGCAAACTAGACCGTACAAGTTAGTCGCTGTCGTGTGGCCGAGCCTTAAGAGACAACGACGAGTAGCATGCACAGTTGTGGAGAAAGCTAGACCCCCCAATCCTCATGGACACTCTGCTTATTTGAAGAACATTTTGTTATTTTTTTATAA